CAAGCACTCCGAATTTGTTGGCGGTGTTCATTTTTCTCTATGAGTTCATGGTGACCTAACCCTAACCCTAAGTGGAATTTTCCTCCAATGGGATTTTCCCATGTATTTTACCAGGAAATATAGATAGGGCAGCCTATTAAAGTCAGTGCCCTCCTAATCATACCCAAGTACTCCGAATGTGTTGCTGGTGTCCATTTTGCTCTGTGAGTTCATGGGGACCTAACCCTAATCCTAAGTGGAATTTTCCTCCAAAGGGATTTTCCCATGTATTTTATCAGGAAACTTAGATAGAGCGGCCTATAAAAGTCAATGCCCTCCTAACCTTATCAAGGCATTCTGAATTTGTCTGCAGTGTCCATTTTGCTCTATGAGTTCATGGTGACCTAACCCTAACCCTAAGTGGAATTTTTCTCCAATGGGATTTTCCCATGTATTTTACCAGGAAACATAGATAAGTCAGCCAAGAAAAGTCAGGGCCCTCCTAACCATACCCAAGCACTCCAAATGTGTTGCCGGTGTCCATTTTGCTCTATGGGTTCATGGTGACCTAACCCTAACCCTAAGTGGAATTTTCCTCCAATGGGATTTTCCCATGTATTTTATCAGGAAACATAGATAGGGCAGCATATAAAGGTCAGTGCCCTCCTAATCATATCAAGGCACTCTGAATTTTTGTGCAATGTCCATTTTGCTCTATGAGTTCATGGTGACCTAACCCTAACCCTAAGTGGAATTTTCCTCCAATGGGGTTTTCCCATGTATTTTATCAGGAAACATAGAAAGGGCAGCCTAGAAAAGTCAATGATCTCCTAACCTTATCAAGGCACGCTGAATTTGTTGGCGGTGTCCATTTTGCTCTATGAGTTCATGGTGACCTAATCCTAACCCTAAGTGGAATTTTCCTCCAATGGGATTTTCCCATGTATTTTATCAATAAACTTAGATAGGGCGGCCTAGAAAAGTCAGTGCCCTCCTAACCTTATCAAGGCATTCTGAATTTGTTGGCGGTGTCCATTTTGCTCTATGAGTTCATGGTGACCTAACCCTAACCCTAAGTGGAATTTTCCTCCAATGGGATTTTCCCATGTATTTTACCAGGAAACATAGATAGGTCAGCCAAGAAAAGTCAGGGCCCTCCTAACCATACCAAGGCACTCCAAATTTGTTGGCAGTGTCCATTTTGTTCTATGAGTTCATGGTGACCTTACCCTAATCCTAGCATTCCAGATAGATGGTTGTCCAGTCTCTTCTTAAAAGACTCCAGTGATGGAGCACCCTCGACTTCATTCCACTGGTTAATTGTCCTGCTGTCAGGAAATTCCTCCTTAGTTCCAGGTTGTTTTTCTCTTGGATGAGTTTCCATCTGTTGCTTCTTGTCCTGCCTTCAGGTGATCCTCCCTCTTCTTGGTGGCAGCCCCTCAAATGCTGGAAGACTGCTGTCCTGTCACCCATGGTCCTCTTCTCTTGACTGGCCATACCCAATTCCTGCAACAGTCCCCAAACAACCGCCATCTTTCAGTGTCTGAAGAGTTGAGAAGTGTGAATGACAGTAATGGAACTGTGTGCCAGGCAGGCATGGCACACAGGGAGGCGTCCATCTCAGGCAGCAGGACCTAAGGGCTACGGGGCCCTCCATGGGTCCCAACTGGAAATACACTAGTGATGGGATGTGGCAATCCTTGGTGGCATCAACAACAGTATTGTGTCGAGAGCAAGAGAAGATGCTGCTCCCTTCTCCCTAGGCTGGTCAGCCACCCCCGGAGTAGGGCAGCCAGACAGCTCTGTTGGCATTCATTCTGGCACATTCCAGGAAGGAGAAGCACCCTAGTTTATGATGTTCAGTCTGGGCGGGAAAGAGCATGTCCAGAGTTGATGGGGATACGTGGTTTTTTTCCTTCTTCTGTGGCTTCCTTCCCGTCCTCCAGCTTTCAGTCTTTTCTCACCACTGTTACTATCACTGATACTGTAAGCCACTATTTCTAATAGAAACCATGGTTTACTTAGTGCTTGGGAACAGGGTACACACATAAGGAAAAATCAGAAAGATAATCCTGAGTTTCTTGCATTGCTGTTTCTACCCAATGATGATTAAACAGGAGCAGTTTATCCTAGCGACAAGTGTAAGTAAGTGGATGAAGGCTGAGGGGAGGCGTCAGAAGCCAGGACACCTGGCTGGAGAGAAAACTGGAGGCAGAACTGAAGCAGAACGAAGAACTGAATTTCCTGACCTTTTTATTCCTTCTCTTTAACTGACTTGGCTGAAGAGTCTCCGGGGCGCTCCAACCTGCCGTTCTCAGTGGCTCCAAATCTGGAGGTTACTGGAGTTTAAGAAGAGGTTGGGCCCAATGGTTTCCTTCTGATCTCAGGATCTGATCACAACAGTTCGTAATGTCGGAAAGCATGCTTCGCTCTCCTGTCTTCCAGCCGGGTGATGCCCACCTTTAATGCAGGTCCGGCACGGAGCGGCCTCCGGCTCTGCCCTGCTCATTCTGGCGTGACTTAGGACATCGCTCTCATTTGCAAATGAGGATCTCATCCCAGCATGACCTTTCCTCCGTGGAACTCATCCTGAGTCATGTAGCAAACAGTATCGGGATGTGTTCACAAAGAAGGCTTTCTGCACAAACCTAGATGTTCCCTCAGATGTTTTCGAGTTTGTGAGAAATTCACAAAAGGAATTCAGTCAGAACTGAAGAAGCTTCTTGGATGGGAAGCGAAAAGTTGTCAAAGGAAAAAAACCAAGAAATTCCAGCTGCCTTTTGGGAAAAGCGCCTTAGGGACATATCGTGACCCTGGATCATCATCGTGGGGACTCTCCAGAGACATCGAAGGAGAAAGCGGAAGTCAAGATCCTGTCTGGATCTGGGCTGAGGGACGGGCAGCCTCCCGCCGGCTGTTCTGTTCTTCCTCAGGTCACAAAAGGGGAGTCAGCAACAGCCCTCCTGCTTGCTCAATGAAGACGGGGGGGGGGACCCCGATTATTTCGTAGCAATATCATTAATTACTCCTGTGCGTTACGCTGGAGGATCATCAGCAAAGCAGAAAAAAGAGGGGGGAAATTGCCCCCCCTCAGTGGAGGAAAAAATCAAACAGCCAAGGCACCGAGCAATCAATTCATAAGTTAATTAGTGCACAAACTGATTAGAAATCTCTGAGCAAAACGAGAACTGAATCCTCCTGCTGGATTTCATTTATGAAATTCACCAATCAGCACTGAATTTTTAATTCAAACGGGCAGTTGCAAAATTGGCTAACTGTGTTGCATATTAAGTCCTCTTCAGATACTTGCTGAAAACCCTAATTATTAGTTCAGTGGAACTCAAAATGAAATGCCTCCTGATTTGGGGAATGGGACACACCCGTATCTAAGTAGATGCAGGCTCCGTTTTATTTCCTCGCTTCTTCATTTGTGGGGACTTTTCCCTGCTCGGTGCTTCCCGTCTTCCTAGGGCCCGGTTCTGTCCTAGTCGGGCCATCAAACTGGCAGTCCTTGACCTACAACTGCTTGTTTAGTGACCGTTCAAAGTCAGAACGGCACTGAAAAATGTGACTTATGGCCACGTTTCACAGTTACGACCTTTGCAGCATCCCTGTGATCGTGTGATCAGAATTCAAATGCTTGGCAGCTGATTCATACTTACGACCATTGCTGTGTCCCGGGGGGAGTCATGGGATCCCCTTTTGCGACTTTCTCAGGAGCAAAGCCCAGGGGGGAAGCCGGGTTCACTTAACAAGTAGGCTACTAACTTATCAACTGCAGTGATTCACTTAACAACTGGTGAGACAGATCATAAAATGGAGCAAAACTCACTGAACAAATGTTTCACTTAACAACATACATTTTGTGCTCAACTGTGGTTGTAAGTTGAGGACTTCCTGTCACTCCATTGTGGTATGCAACTTATTAAAGTATTTGTAAGTCAAATTTATAAAGCGACCCATAATAATTCTGGCTGGCATATAGGTGAAACACTCACAATACAGTGAAAGAACAAAGAAATTGTAACTTTGCGGGGGGAGGGCAGAGATAGCATCACAAGAGGGCCTGGGGGGAAGACAACTCTTTGAGGCCCTCTTCCGAGGCAAAGAGCATTGATGCCCTGCCCCCCCCCCGCAAGGAGGGCCCACGGGTGCCCCTTTGAATGTAGACCCTGAGAAAGGAGGGCTATGAACTGGCCCAGCCAGTGATTGCCCAGCTGTGGGTCAGAGCCAGCCCCTCCTCCTGGAAACCATGGCCCTTGTTCCCCAGCCTCTCCGTCTGCTTCCCTGCAGGCCAAAACGCACCCAGAGCACTGGAGGTTTTTAAGAAAAGACCAGAGAGACGTTTGTCTAGGATGGTACAGGGCCTCCTGCTCGAGCAGGGGGGTTAGACTAGAACAGGGGTCCCCCACCCCCGGGCCCTGGATTAGTACCGGGCCGCAGCATGCCAGCAACTGGGCTGCACAAACAAGCAAAACCCCATCCATGGGATGCAGGCAGCACACAAAACCACGCACCCTCCGGTCCGCAGAAGAACCTCTCTCCATGGAACCGGTGATCCCTGGTGCCCAAACAGTTGGGGGCCTCTGGACTAGAAGACCTCCCAGCTCCCTTCCAGATCCGTTCTGACTGCTTTCTTTCGGGAGAGCTGCACCGTCTCCAGGCTGAGGCAGATCTGGATTCCCCGGAACTGGGAGGCGAGGGCAGCCTTTTGTGCCCATAGGAAGCTGCTCCAACTGGGTCTGCGTCTGCGTCTGCGTCTGCGTCTGCGTCTGGGTCAGGCCTCCTTCCCGGGCTGAGCTGAGGGAAGCCGGGCGAGGCAAGGGGTCAGCCGGCCGGCTGCCACCACAACGACTGCGCATTTGAGGCCTGCGGGAGGGCAGCACGCTGGCTGCTGCTCAACTGTGCCAGGATCACACAGCTGTCACAGTGTGGGAAGGCTGGGCTGGGGATGGGACTCGCTCGGGCGCTGACAGCTTCCGACAAGTGGTAGCTGGAGCTGCCTCCTGTTCCTCCTGCAGGGGCCCCGGCTGGCGAGGGAGACCACTGGAGCATCCGTCTGCGGTGGTGACGGAACGTCGGGAGGCTTCGGACAGCTGGCTCCCTTCAGTTCTCGGGAGCTTCGCAGCGTGAAGCAGGGAAAGCCGGTGAGAAGTAAGCGCACTCCCGTTGGGTCCGGGGGAGCCACAATTTGGTGCTAAATCAACCGATTAATCTGTGATTATTAGGACTTTGAACGTGGCAATGTCTCCCTCCCACAGTTTGGCCTCAAAAGAGGAATAAATGTCAAAAAGCAGAATTAGCTGCATTTCTGCCAAAGTGCTGGAGGGAAGGGCCGAGCACAATCTGTCTTCCGAAGCAAAGTGAGAAGAACGTCCGCCCAGGGCGGGACGGCCCAGCTCGGTCCCCGGGGAGGCTGGGGCTAGAAACCAGGACGAAGGGAGGCTGTCAAGGCCCTGGGTGGAGCGTCTGGATTTCTGAGCAGAGCCTCTTTCTCTGATCATGAGTCTGGACAGCCGGCTGCCACTCCTTCCCCACCTGCCTCTCGCTCAGCCAGAAGCCTTGCTTGCATGTGACTCAAAGATGTTTTGCAACTCCACCACCCCAGGCAGGCTGTCTAAGAGCATCTCCCAGGGGGGGCCCTGCTAGCAACCACGGGAGGTCCTAAGAGCTCACTGCCAGTGACCCCCGCCGTAACCACTGCCTCTTTCTTGCAGGTCATGCCAAGGGAGCGGCTGTGGGTCTCAGGGCGCCAAGGCCCAAGGACATCCCCACTCTCAAAGACCGAGCCTGGGGGGTCTTCGTCCTTTCAGCCACAACCCTTGAACCCTGGGGCTGGCCGCCGACTTGCAGGAGGAAAAAACCGAAGATTCCGGGACAGGAAGGAGCGGCCAGTGGGGACCTCGGCCCTTGAGGAAGCACCTCAACTGGTAAAGGGCTTTTACAAGCTTGGGATGGAGGCCCATTAGCCCCCTGCTGGGTCTGGAGCAGGAGGGCAGGCTGGGCTGGAGGTCCTGGGGAGCCGGCTGGCCAGAGGAAGCCTCTCTGATCAGCACCAGGGGGAGGCCATGCTGGCCTGCGGGCGCCCGTGATGTTCCCCAGGAGGCGTGTCCAGCAGGGCAGTTCGGCCTCCCTTCTTCTGCTCTCAGCCTTGGCGGGGGGGGGGGGGTTTCGGGATAGAGATGTGAAGGGAACATGGCTGCCCACCCAGGTGTGAAGAAGGCTTGCATTTCCAAGGTGAAAGAGGTGACATTTCTCTTGTGGAGGCAGAGCTGATGAGGAAGGAAGGGCAGCAAGCAGGCCTGAAGCTACCCAGGTGGGTCAGGTGACGGGCAGGCTGCTCCTGAGCCCCTCCAGGAAGGGCCGGACCTTCCCCAGAGAAGCAGCCGAGGAAGCAGCAGTGAAGCCTCTGGAGAGCCTGGAGCGAGGAGGAGGACGAGGCTCCCGGGCCCATGCTCCCCTCCCTCCTACTTCACCTGATGGATCGGGAGATTTTCTCTCTCGGATCTTTTTGCGGTCTGGGCTTGCTGTTCCTCCAATAAGGAGCCAGGAAGCCCTTACCCCAAAAAGTATTTGCGAGGGATCACGTCATCGGACGAGAAGGGCCGGGGGGCTTTGAGGGAGGTCGCCCACCTCGAGGTCTCGGAGAATGACGACAGTGCCGGTGCGGGATGGAGGACGCTTCTCGTGAGCATGAGCTGCCCCTCGGCCCACCGCCCGGCTCCCCAAAGGCAAGAGGCTTAAGAGAAGACCCTCCTTGCCGCAGGTGGGACGACGGACAACTGCCCAGGTGAAGCCGAGGCTGCTAGGAGGGTGCAGCCCTCACCGACGGTGGGAGGGGGGTCTGACGTTGGCTCTTGAGTCCCACTGGGCAGTTTCAATTTCTACTAGAACGTTCATACAATGTTGGTTTCATAATGAAGGGTACCACCCTAATCAGGACCTTCTTCTTCCCATCATAAAATAATGTTTTTTGTACCAGAAAACGCCTTGCAGGCTTCAGATGGCTGCGCTCCTTTAAGCCCAAGGCAGAGATGGGATATAGGCCACTCGGAGCCGTTTGCAGCTGGAGCAGCCTGGAGCTCAATAAATAAAGGCAGAATAAATAAACAAATAATGCAACAATTGGGGTAGTTTGCTCATTACAGAGATGTGTCTAAAGTTACTTCAGTGTTTATTGTTGCATTTCGTAAGCTTCAGGCTCCCTAACTAGGCCCTCTTTCCCAACTGCATGGGAGTATCACTGCCAATGGGCCATCCCCCCCCTTGCCTGAACCCCCCCCTGCCTCCCTGGGAAGAACCGGAGGGAGACTCTGGGGGGCAGTCAGAAGGGCCAAAAAAGGACCCCGGAAGCTTTGGCGCAAACCACCCCAAAGTTTCATTATAAAAGTGATCAAAGGAGGAATTATTAAGCACCAGCCGAAATGGATTTAAAGAAATTCTGCCCTCCTACGGAGTCCTGGGATACTCAGAGATATTGCTGCATAAGAAGGATTTGCGAGGGGCCAGAGGGCGAGGGGTCAATAGGTGGGAGGGTTTTAAATCAGAAAGAGGAGCTGAGTTTCCAGATTACCCCCCCCCCCTCCTTTAGCTGAGCTTTCCAGTCCCTGCATTCCTGAAAAAGCAGCCGGAGCAGAGAGTGGGAGCGTGTCCCTCGCTGCCTGTTGTGTGAGAAAGTGCCTCTGGGCTGCCGAAGGGCTGCTGAGAAGGGAGGGTGACCCTCCTGCCCCCCCCCATTCCCAGAGACCTCCTGGCTTCTCCTGGACAGGTGAGTCCTCTCCCTATTGCCAGCAGCTCCAGGCCTGGCTGCTTTCGGGCGGCTGAGAATAATCGGAGCTGGCATTTTGGAGACCAGCGGCCGAAGGGGAGCGAAAGGGTTTCTCACCCTTCAGGAGAGCGGCTGTGGTGGCGGAAGGTAATGCTTGATAAATGGCTCGGCCAGGAAATTTCAGGCTCCGTTGCTCACGTTTCCTCTCTGGGCAAGAACGCCTCGGATGGGCCAGGGAGAAGCTGTCGCTGCACAGCCTGTCTCTCCGCCTGCTCAGCTCCAGAGCACCAGTGCCCCGGCCGTGCACCCCAGAAGGCCATCAGGCACCAGGGAGGCAAACGGCCAGTGGGCCAAGCTCAGGGGTTTTCTGGCCTTCTTCAGAGGGGGAGCTTCACGGGGCCCACAGCATCTGCCGCCCTGCTTTGGCCCACCCCCCACAAGGGAGGCCAGAGTGGAAGGAGGAGAAATCTTTAATTAAAATGCCCCCCTTCCCCCCCACCCTCCTGGGGGATCCTCCTGCCCTGGGCAGCTGCAAAGGCCCTTCTCCAGTCGGTGCTTGGATGTTTGGGGTGGGGGGCAAGTAGGACCTTTGCTCCCTCCTGGGGTTTTCTTCCCTGGTGATGCCAGGTGCCCTGACCTACCCTGACCCTGGTGCGAGTCCTACCACTATTTATTTATTGGCCGATTTGTTGCAAACAGTATTGCATCTCGCTCTCATCCGACTCCAGGTGGTTTACAACAGAAGGTACCATGGGGAGGATTCAAGCTATGCCAGGGAACACCCACTTTACCAGTTCAAAATCACCAGAGGTTTAATGCCCAAATGTAAAAACAAGTCATCCTAAAACCCCACAAGGGTGAACTGGCCAAACGGCCAGTGGGACACAGCTTCTCCCTTGACCCTCAGGAACATCGTTGGGAGAGCTCTGACCCCCAGCAGCGCCTGGTCCACAGTGGGGGGGCAGCCATCAAGAAGGGGCTCCCCCAGGTTCCTGCCTCCCCTCAGAGCGGCAAGCTCTCCTGGGGGGAGGCTCCCTAAGGGGAAAAGGGGGCAACCCCCGCAAGCTCTGCAGGGGACGCACAGAAATTGAGTGGAAGGCAAAACGGGGGCTGGATTGTTGACCTGGGCCAGATGCCATCCCCGGTGGCCTTGAGGCGATCAGACTGCGGTACTCCAGCCAAGAGTGATGTGGGCAGCACCCACCATGGCCAGGGTCTCCCCATCCCAAAAGAGCCCCAACTAGTTCCCGGACGTGGGCAGAGGCCCTCCTGGCCACAGTCTCCATCTATTCTCCTGGTAGGACGGCCAAATCATGGAGGTGCTTCAGGGGAGTCCAGAGTCGACGCTGGAACTGAAGCAGAAACGGGTTCAAGCTACATCTTTGCTCTACCCACAACATCTGGAGGTGAGTCGTTCCACTAATTAATTGTTCTCCCAGTCAGGAAATTCCTCCTTAGTTCCAGGTTGTTTCTCTCCTTGATCAGTTTCCATCCTTCGCTCTTTGTCCTGCCTTCTGGTGCTTTGGAGAAGAGGTTGACTTTCCCTCTCCTTTGGGAAACCCCTGAGATATTGGAGCACTGCTATCATGTCCCCCTCCTCCTTCTCTTCATTAGGCTAGACATTCCCAATTCTAGCAACCGCTCCTGATATGTTTTATTTATTTATTATTTATTTATTTAATTTTATTTATATGCCGCCCAATCCCAAGGGACTCAGGGCGGCGTACAAAATTAAAACAATAATCTAACAATAAAACAATATAATCATACAGCGTGTCCGATCATATCCCGCCCCCCTCCCCGGGGACATCATTTTAGCCCCCAGTCCCCTGATCATCTTTGCTCCTCCTCTCTGCACTCTTTCCAGAGTCTCGACATCTTCTTTACATCGTGGTGACCAAACCGTGAAGCCCAAGGACCCACTCCATCCAGGTAGCTCTCCAGCTAAAGCAGAGGACTCAAAGAGCCCACCCCCCCCCACCTCCATGCCTCTTGCCAGCCACCTCCCAGATACGGCCTCCCATCTCAACTGCCGGGAGGAGCCACGTGGGACCTGGACTAGCAGACTGAGGTTGGGAGACCTCCGCTGTGGAGAACCCCCCCCTCCCTCCCTCCCTTCCTGCCGCCATCAGCCTTAGCTGCTGGGTCACTTTGCAAGACGTTGCCAGCCGCCTCATTAGATGTTGTCCAAGCTGCGCCAAGCTCAGTGTGAATCTGAGCAATTTTATCTGCGAACCGTCAAGTGAGAGTGTCACAAAGGCCTGCAGGAGATTAATCCTGTCTGCTTTCCTCCCAGAGAGGATTAATGACTCCTTTTCAGCTCTGGTGCCTTGAAGCTGTCGTGAAACTGCAGGGGGAAGATGTGGCTGTGAAGGTCATGCAGACACTCCAGCGCCCCTGAAGGCACCGAGGGGGGTGGGCTCTGGAGCCCCCCCCCATGGATTCTGGGATCCTGTTAGAGCAGAAGAGGCTGAGGATGACTCCTCTCCTGTTCCCCAGATAGGGACCTGGATGCCTGCTGACTTCAGAGTGTGGCTGAAAGGGAAGCGCCCTAAAACGCAGCCTCTTCTTCCCTGAATAAAAGACGGGCATTGCCCTACCTTGTCTGGTCATCTGTGGAGAGTCTCAGCTATCCAGGCCATGGTTGTCCCAAAGGTCTGGTTACCTTTTTGAGAAAAAAACACCTTTGGGACCACCTCACCTGGGGAAAACTGGCATCCGAAGGGGATGGCAAAAAGGGCTCCGGACCAAAGGCTGGGAGACCCCACTCTGTGTAAGGCCGGGCAGAGCAGAATCGGAGACGGTGGGTCCCATCCGCGGATTTTCCCTTCTCTCTGCTCCTTCACGGAGGTCAGCACTGGGCAGCAGCCCCGAGGGGGAGGCGTGGAGGGGGTCTTGTGTGCACCACCTGGACAGTCCGATGATGGCACCCATATCACCTCGGCTTGGTATTCAGGGGTGGGCAGTTTAGGGTCCTCCCGAAATGTGGGGCTCCCCACATTCATCGCGTGGCCAAGATTACGAGAGGCCCATCTTCCTCCTGACCCCCCACCTGGGGTTCCCTTCCTTTGAGCTCAACCTGGCTGAAGCCCAAATTCAGAGGAGCCCCCTCTTCTTTCACAGGGTCCCCTCCCTCCCCGTGCAAGAGACAGGGTGACCTGGCACCCAGTGAGAGCTCTGGGGTCACTTCCTGCAACAGGGAGGGGGACTGAGTTGTGTTATGGAGCAAAACAGTGAGGTGAGCTGAGCCTCACCAACCACACAAGCTCCCTCGCTTTGACCCAGCTGACCTCACTCGGGGGGGGGGGACAGAGGAGAAGCAGGCGGCCATCTTGGCCCGGAGCCCGGACTTTGTCCCTCGGGGGGGCTCTTTTCCTGCTCCTGAGAAGCCCACCTGGCTCTCCAAGGGGGTCTGCAGGAATCTTTGCGGTGACCGATAGCAAGAAAAGCTGACCCTGGACCCAAATGACAGAAGGAAACAATACAGGTAGTCCTCGGCTTATGACCACAATTGAGCCCAAAATTTACATTGCTAAGTGAGAAATTTGTTGTGAATTTTGCCCCATTTTTATGACTTTTCTCGCCACAGTTGTTAAGTGAATCATTTCAATTGTTAACTTAGTCACACGGTTGTTAAGTGAATCTGGCTTCCCCACTGACTTTGCTCGTCAGGTCGCAAAAGGAGATCACGTGACCCCCGGGACACACTGCGACCGTCATAAACATGAGTCAGTTGCCAAGCGTCTGAATTTTGATCACAAGACCGCGGGGATGCCGCAACGGTCGTAAGGATGAAAAACGGTCACAAGTCACATTTTTTAGTGCTGTTGTAACTTTGAATAGCCACCAAATGTTGTAAGTTGAGGACTGCCTGTACTTTTAGAATCCCAAGTAAGCGGCACTTAGACCACTCCTGATCTGAAGAGCTGTAGCAGGAGGGAGAAGCGGGGGGGGGGGGCATCACCCAGCTGGCTAAGGAAACCCCCTGCAAGAAAGCAGCCAAGCTCAGAGGCCCCCAAGGGCTCCGCGGGACATAAATAGTTTAAATAGTTTAAATTGCTTAAATTGGACACGGCACATCAAGCAGAGCTTGAACAGGCAGCAAGGGTCCTCAGCAGGATTGTCTCCCAGTGACCTGTTTTCTGGGAGGGGGGGCTCCATGGTATCCAAAGCAGAACATCCAGATTCAGCCACAGTTTTGTTCCACACAGGATAAACCCGGTGAACTCTCAAGCTTCCTCCTTCCGCTCTGCATTCAAAATGGACAGTGATGGGCAGTCTTAATTTGTCTATTTTTATTGGTGCACAAATAAAATGTTGAAGCGAAGACCTTGCTGGTTCCCCCATTGGGGACAAATTGCTGGGAAGGAGGGGAAAGCAGCCCCAGCCTCCCCAGAAGCCCCCTCCCCTGCTCTCCCCTTTTCCTAGGCTGGGAAAGCCCAGGAAAGCTGCTGACAGCAACATCTCTTTCACCCCCCTCCCCAGACCTCAGCCTTGGTCCCTCCGAGCCCCCCCCCTACAGTTGCTACCATGATGGCATTTCAGATGGAGGCCGAGTCCTTCTCCCTTCTGTTTTTTTTGTAGCTGAGCTCTGACATTGCTCCAGGTGCTGGATACGTGCTGGAAAAAAAGAAAATTTATTCCTGTTTGATTCAAACAAATTGGCTCTCTCAACACTGCGAACATGGGATGTTCTTGCTTTGACAACAGATGGAAATGCAGCCATTTTCCTCTATTGCTTTTAGAATCAGTTGCTGCTGGGAGGGGGAATGCGGATGACAGTCCAGCTAGTCATAACAATAATAGCTCAGCCGTGGGAACCCAAGGTCACTGGGCCCAGAGGGGCTGGAGAGCTGGGGAGAAAGCCCACACTTCAAGCTAATTGGGGAATGTGATTTATGACTGTTTATTGGAGGAGGGAATTGTGCTTTGATACTTTGTATCCAGAGGAGGGGGATTCAGTTTTTGGTTTTGACTATGTAGTGCCGATACTTTGTTTCTCGATACTTTGTTTCTCGAATAAAAGATTCTTTAAGGTAAACAATGCCTCCAAGTTCTTCTGAAGAGTTTCATCTACGGGAACCATGACAGGCTCTTTGGAACTGCCAGAAACAAAGGCTGGCCCAGAGGAGGAGGGGGAGCAGCCTGTACAGCAGCAGCTGATGGAAAACAGCAGGCGGGAGACCAACCGGCTCTGTGGGTAGCTGTCCCTGGTCACAGGCCAGGCAGGTGAGAGGCCATCCCCAGTCTCTGCCCTCCAGGGGCCTTTGGGAGGTGCCCTGCCTGAGCAACACAGGCCCCAGCCCTCCCTCCGTTTCAGCTCCCCACGGGTTGCCTGACCTCTTGCATCAAGGGATTTACACACACACACACACACACACACACACACACACACACACACGGGAATGAAGGGAGTGTTTTTTGAGCATGGTGGTTTTCTTGCAGACATTTCATTACCCAATTAGGTAACCTCATCAGTCTGCAAGGAAACAAGCCAGGTCAGAGCGCACCAAGCACCCTCATTTCAACTCTGAGCTAAAAATACCCCCCTTTATTGGTCCGTGTGGGGATGTCTTCTCCAGGTGGTTCCAGTCAAGATGCTTGATGACCCAGCCCGGAGAGGAAGCTGATGAGGCCGCAGGTGCTCTCAGCGGCCAGGCAAAGGACCTCCTCAGACACTGCAGCCACCTGCTCTTGCTGCTGACCACCTGCCACCCAAGGGGCTTCCTTGCCGGAACACCCAAACTTCCCTGAAGGCTCCCCAGCCGTCCGTTTCCCTCCAGGCCGCAAGGGGTTCTGAAAGGGGGAGAACTGCAAGGACCCCCCTGTGGGAGTGGCCCTCCTGGCTGGAGGTGCTTCTAAGAAAGGGCGAAGAAACGGCCTGGGCTCCACCTGTGGAGGGAGAAAGGAGGAGCATTCAGACAACAACTGGAGGCACGCACAACGGGGGGGGGCAGCTTTTGGGGTGGGAGGGATGATTTGCCTCAGCAGCCAAGGAAGTCCCCTTGGGGCATCCCTGGGAAGCTGGTCCAGATGCTCACAGCTTTCCATTCCAGCCTTCGGTGACCTGGCAGAAGAGCTTCCCCCCCCCCCCCGCCGCCCCGTTGCTGGCAGAAAAAGCCCCCCCCCCCGTCCGTCCAGCAGGGACATCTAGCAGGAGGGATCCAGGAGAAACCGTCACCCTCCAACCTCTGACCTTGTGCCAAGGCTGAAGACCCCAGAACCCCTTTCTAGCCACCCTCTCTCCGTCCGAAAGTCGCTCCAGCTGCCCGGGGCTTCTCCCCCTTCTCGCTTCTCCATGAAAGCGGTTTTCCGCAGGGAGCAAAGGAAGCACTTACCGAATTATCCTCTCCATTACGCTGGTTGCGAGCGTCATAAAAATTTCATCCCGTTTAAACCGCCCGAATGATAGACTTGGGTACGCAGAAGCACACAGGCAAATCCTCCCACTGGGCCCCTCCGCCCGTCCAGCTCACCCCGGGGCCGTTCAGCCGCTTCCCCGGGCCTCGGCAACCCCCAACAACGCGCTGAGGGTCAGGGGGGCTCACTCAGTCACTCACTCGCCCAGCCCCTCCCTCCTTCTCAGCCCCTGCCGTTGTTTGGAGCGGACAGAGGGTCGGTGGGGGCAGCCGGATAAAGCGGCTCAGTTTCAAAAACTCCCTCCCCCCGTCTCTCTCCGCGTGGGGTGTGTGTGTGTGTGTGTGTGTGTGTGTGTGTGTGTGTGTGTGTGTGTGTGTGTTGTGAGTGCAAGAAGCGCTTCTTTCCGCGTGCAGAATCCCCCAGGGTTTCCTTGGCTGGAGCTGCTGTTGAGTCCTCTGGTCGGATGCGGTTCCACGTTCCCGCTGCTCCCGCCAACCGTCCGCACCAACGCCGGGCAGGGAAGCCGAGGACCGCAGGAGAAGCGCTCCGGGGAGAAGGGAAGAGCCTAGCTCGCTCCAGCGGCCCTGGGGGTGGGGGTGGGGGTGGGCGGAAGAGACCCACACTTACCTGAGCATTTTAGCTGGGGGGGGG